GGGGGCAAAAACTGCGAAGTTTACATTTACCGAGCATGGCCTGCTATCCTGCGCCGAAAGTCTACCACGCATCAAGCCCGTCCAGTTGCGCGAGCTGGTTCAGGACCTCTCGAACATCCATGTGGATCTCTTTACACTCTCTCCACATCCCAGCTCGCCGGTGCAACATTTACGTGTTAACTGGCACCTTGGAAACGGTTACAACTCCTCTGCTAAACTGTTTGCGCGAGATGCCTTCTTCCCTCTGAAGTCGATGGTTTATGAGGATCTGCCAATCCTGGCTCCCGCAAACTTGGAGGCCTACTTGACTGTCGAGTACGGATATCTTGGACGCGACGCGATGTATGATCGCGAAACCCAACGATACGTTAAGATATCTGACGATGTTTTCCGGCAGTTGCCAGCGCAGATGCAGAAACTCCTTTCCAGACCCACCATAGAGCAGAAATATTGAACGCCTAGTGTCTAAAGACTCTTTCAAATGCTGTATCATCGATCTAGAGCTGGAAATGTTCACTGCTGAAGCCTCAAAGGGTTTTTTGTATACATTTATATTGTACACTGTACATTTTTATGAAGTATTAATGCAGTATTTTGTTAATGGTCTCTCTAACAGTGAGCAACAAGGACTTTTGCTACGTTTACATGTGCGAATGTCACATGAAATTGACCTTTTTGGTCCCCTGCTGGTTGTAGCAACATCATTTTTGTAGGGCCCTGTCACTTGCACCGTTAAAGCACTCACTTCAGTCATGCGTGCCGGACAAGTAAACCCCACGGAGCTAGTTTGCTTGAAGTTGATTGGGTGGTAAAATGAAACCTAAGCCTACTCTGCTACACAATCCTTGCCTCTGTCTGGGTTCATCTTGTTTCGTTCTGCAGTGTCACCAACTGTCTTTCTAGCCAGGTATCGTTTTCTAATGAAATTCGCTTTATTGCTCCTTTGCTCCGTTTAGAAAAGAACTCCTGTTGGTGTCACATGTATCCATAGTTGGCTTATTAGCTTTCAATGCTTAGGGCTTTGGACTTATAACCAACAGGTCGTGGGTTCGAGCCTTGAGGGGTTACAACACCTGGGCTTATGTATGCCTGGCTGATGACGACTAGTAA